GAGGAGGTGTGGCCTTGATGGAGGAGGTGTGGCCTTGATGGAGGAGGTGTGGCCTTGTTGGAGGAGGCGTGGCCTTGATGGAGGAGGTGTGGCCTTGTTGGAGGAGGCGTGGCCCTGGGGATGGGTTTTGAGGTTTTAAGTCCACACCAGGCTCAGTGTTTTTCTCTCTCTGCCTGCTGCCTGTGGATCAGGATGTACCTCTCAGCTGCTGCTCCAGCACCATGCCTTCCTGCCTGCCACCATGCTCCCACCATGATGACAATGGACAGCCTCTGAAGCTGTAAGCAAGCCACCAATTGATTTCTTTTATAAGAGTTGCCTTGGTCATGGTATCTCTTCACAGCAATAGAGCAGTAACCAAGACAACAATAAATGTATAAGTAAAACCGCCTAGTCCACTTATTGTTGCTCACGTGTGTGTTTTTAGGGCTGACCACTTGGTATTGATAATCAATTAGTGTCCTCATCCTTGGGGAACACTGACTTGCTGTCTCTCAGTGGCCTTTAATTGGATGCTGTCCTGTTGTCTGTTAAGTTTCAGCACCTTGGAAGCACACTGAGGAGAACACAGCCATTTTATTATGAGCTCCTGGGTAGTGGGCTTCGCTGGAGGAACCTGGTCTACCTTGTCTCTAGCATGAACAGCCTCATGGGAAATGCATAGAATTGAGGATGACCATGTTCATCAGTTACCGGCTGTGCTGGGACTGTAGGTGGGCTTGGGGAAGTGACTCTCACTTATGAGGTAGAATATCTTTGTCATATATGAAGGTAGTCATCCACAGGCCTCAGCTTGAGTCACACGGTGGCACCTGGCCACCTAGGAGGCTGGATTCCGTGCACCTGCTAGATATTGGGAATTTTGTTTTCACAGATGGTTGCCATCAGATTTTGCAGACAACCAACATTTTTTTTTTCCACACACACTGTTGCAGGGTAGGCTTTGTCTAGGCCATTTCTGTGCCACCTTGATTCTTAATTTTTATATTTAAATTTAATTTTATGATACATTATGGTATGAGCCTATTGGCTTGTTTATATTGTTTTTTTTTTCTTTTTGTTAATCTTTTATTTGTTCCCTTGGAATGAGATTTGTGTATTCCATACTCTCATGTGTGTGTGTGTCTATATACAATTTAGGTTCTGTATATGACAAAGATATATCATAAAACATGATATTTGTCTTTCTGAGTTTGTTTTACTTAGTAGGATCATATCTAGTTCCATCTATTTTCCTGCAAGTGGCACAGTGTTGTTCTTTTTTATGGACAAATAAAGCTTCATTATTTATGTATACCACCTTTTCCTTCACCATTTGTCTGTTGATGGATCCCACACTAACTAAATAACTCAGCTTTTGTGAACTCCTGCTGTGAAAACTAGATATGTGCGTGGGGCTCTTGGGTGACAGGGTTTGGCTGAGAGTTGTAAGGTGAAATAAACCCTTCCTCCCAAGTTGCTTTGGCCAGCGCAGCAACAGAAAGCAGACAAGGACAACCACTGAGCCGTTTCTCCAGCCCTCTGTGTGCCATCTTTTGAGACCTGCCTGTGGCTCCCTTATTGGTAGGATTATTTGAGGGTTTTGGTATTTAATTCTTTGAATCCTTTATATATTCTAGCTATTAATCCCCTGCCAGATGACTGGCCTGCAGAAAACATTCCTCCGATTCTTTGGTTATCTTTTGACTCTTGTTTCCTTTGCCGTGTAGAAACTTTCTAACCCTGTTTGACAGTTCTCATTAGTTCCCCCAGGTCCTTTTCGGAAAGTTCTTGCCTGTATTTGCAAAATGAAGAGTTTTCTGTTTCCTCCATCAGTTTGAGGTTACAGGTCTGGCTCTTTGTTCCATTTTGGATAGGTTTTCACTGTAGTGTTTGGAGTGAATTAAGCGCAGAGCTGGAGGAGCCTGGGGCACTCTTCCTGTTGCTGTTAGGTTATACCAGCAGCTCTGTCTTACTGCAGAGTGCGCTGACCAACTGCTAATGGGGTGGAGCACAGCGGGCAATGAAGACTCAGCCGGTCCTGCTGTCAGGGCTGGCTGTGAGAAGATGATGTGGAAATGACTAAGGATGGTGGCTGCAGAGAATGGTGGCCTTGAGGCTTCCCAGTGGCAATGTGTTCATTTGGCTCTCATGAAGGAGAGGCAGGCAGAGTGACCCAGTCATGGCATGACACAACAGGGGGCATGTCAGGAAGCCGGGCAGGGTCGGCAGCCTTTCTCCAGTCTCTGCTGCAGCCCCTTGTTCTGCCTGTACTTCCAGCCTGACTAGATTCTCCCAGGAACAGCCTTTGCCTTCCTTCTTTCGGGTTTAGCATGATGTTTGGCACATCCTGTAAACATTCATCAAATCATTTGCTACCAGCTCCCATGTGTTAACTGTTCAAAACCCAAATCAAAACCATACCAATGTCCAGCTCTGTACATGTTTAGTTTATAATCAGTATTTTCATTTTAGGAAGGAACTGGTGTACATGTGTTCAGAACATTGCAAAGACTTTGCTCTTGCCTCTGAAACTTGTGGGCATGAAAATAAATAGATGTGTGTGTATAATTTGCAATGTGTTTACACATAGCATATTCTAAAATGAATGGACACTTTAAAATCTTATTACATCTTTATTTATTGCGTGTGAGGGGACGCATGCGATGTCAAGGCGTGGGTCTGGAGGTCGGAGGATAACCTGTGGGAGTCTCTGCTTTCACCCCGTGGGTCCTAGGATGGAACAAGATTGGCAGGCCTTGTGGCAGGTACTCTCGCCTGCTGAGGCAGCTCCCAGGCCCATTAGTTGACACGTTAAGTATAGTCGGTAAAATAATCTTTAGGCTTCACCTTGTACATTCTGTGGAAACTCTGGTTCAATTGTGCTTTGCTTCTGTAGTTAAAGCCCTCTGTGTTTCTCTTTCCTCTAGAATTTTCTGTCACTTGATGAACTGCCACAGCGCAGAGCCCAGGAGCCATCTGACGGGAAAGCCATAGTGCACGTGCAAGATTTTACTGCCTTCTGGGACAAGGTAACAACTCCTCATTTCCAAGAGGCAGTGGGTGACACTGATAGCAGAATTTTGACAAATTTACAATTTCTGTAAAAGGCATTTGGCGCATCTACTGAAAATTTCATAAAAACTCTCCAAATCAAAAAAAACTGTGATCCTAAAGAATCTGAAATTTGTTCTTTTTTTTTTTTTTTAAATGAAAATATTGTTTTATGTGTATGTGTGTGTCATGTACGTGTTTCTGTGCAGCTCCCCATGGGGTAGAGGAGGGTGTGAGATCCTCTGGAACTGGGAACCAAGCCCGAGTTCTCTGGAAGAGCAGCCGGCGCCCGTGGCTGCGGAGCCGTCTCTCCAGCTCCTGAAAGCTGCTATGGACCTCATTTTCACAGAGATTTTCATCATCGCCTTAGTTTAAAGCGAATAGGACATTGGTAATATAGTGCACAGGGTCAGTGAGGCACACGTTAACTGCATATTCGTATTCTTTTAAAATTTTTTTGAAACAGGATTTCTCTTTGTAGCCTTGCCTGGCTTGGACTGGCTTTGTAGAGCAGGCTGGCCTCGAGATCACAGAGATCCTCCTGCCTCTGCCTCCCTGAGTGCTGGGATCAAAGGCATGTGCCACCATGCCCATTAATGTGCATTCTAAACTGTCCTAGATTTTTACCTTGTTTTCACCTTGTCTTAGAGCACGGTGAATAGACTCTGTGATTTGTATTATTTTTTCTGGGGGTCAGATGGGGACCCCCGTATTTTGTGCCTTTGGAGGAGGTGGCAGGCAACCTGGGAAGGTTCCTGGGTTTCAGTGCAGGGTTTCACGGGTGCCAAGCAGACAGGTCCGGCTGGCAGGCCGGGAGGATCCCACAGTGGGTTACACGGGACTTACCTGCAAATAGGAAGAGTAACGGGTGACTAGGACATTCTCAGTCTTGTGGAATTGCTGTGCCCCCCTGCCCACTGCTCCGGGGCCTCCTGACACTCAGCCCTGGCTCTGCTGTGCAGATCTTCCTCTTAGCCTGGGATACAGTGTGCTGAATGGGAGTGTGCATCTAAAGATGCAAGCAAACAGGAGCCCTGGCAGGTGAGGCGGCCCAGAGCCCAGCGAGTGCGGAAGGTGCTCTAAGCTCCAGGGTGAGATGAAACACCACTCACGGGGCAGCTGGGATGTTGCAGGAGGTTGAGAAGTGGCTGATAACACAGTCAGCCTCAGACCAGTGTTCTCCCTGAATTGGCAAGAGGGCCTCGGGAGTAGTGTGATTGAGTTTGGGATACAGCTGAGAGCCAGTTAGAAGCGAGGACCACCCCTTCCCAGCTCTGCTACAGCTGCCCTCACCCCGCTGTGCACATGTCAAACCACAGAAGCCTGCTCTCTTTATACGCCTGTGCAGGTGTAAGCACTGTGTGGTTCTGCCTTGGTGCTGGCAGCTCTCCCCACAAAGCGACAGTGTTTCCAGATGTGGAACAGCACGTCCCAGTATTCTTTACACAAGGAAATTACTACAAGATGCTTTCCCTAGCCTGGAAGTTTCTCTTGATCTGCTCTGCATATCCCAGCCCCGCACATTTAGAGCACTGATAGGAACCAAGGCCTAAATGCCACTGTAAAGTGCCTTGGGTGAAAGCTGCTATTGGGCACAGCACAGGGGGCGATCATTAGCCAAATTTCTTCTCTCTCCAACCCTGCAACATTGGGAAGTGGGCTGTTCTAGTCCTCCAGTTGTCCTCACACTTGCATTTCCAGAGCTGTGCCACCGGTGTCCTTGGCTTTGTCTGTGGGATGACTGTGACCCTTGCTATGACTTCCTTTTGGGTAGGTGAGGGAGGCCATTGGATCGGGTAGAGACATTGGGGGTTTTGGGGAGAAGCTGGAAGAGGATGAAGGACACATGGGCTGGGAGTTACTAGACTCTCTTACAGCCCTCTGGAGATCAGGTGATCGCTGCTAGGAAAAGCGCTTCTCACTAAACCAGCTTCCATTCACAGGCTCAGCCTTTAAACTCACATTTTATGGTCCCAGGGGACCGGCCCATCTTCACAGGGCCAGGGCACAGGTGCTCCCTGCTTTGTTCACGTCTGCGTCCTCGGTGTGGCTCAGCAGTCAGGGCTCAGCAGCGTTGGCATTGCTGTGGGAGGTGCCTGGACAGTGAGCCCTGGGGTGGGGGTGGGCGGTGGAGCTGGGAGTGGGAGTGGGGTACCCTCCCTGTTCCTGTTCTCCCCTGTGCAAGGCAGGTCTGCCCTTCAGAATCTCATTTGGTAGAGTTCAGGTGGCTGTGTTGCCTTTGGTTTATCTCTACTGTTTTTCTGTGAGGTGCAGAACTATTTCCCTCATTGAGTTGCACAGAACATCAGCCCTGTAAGAGAGTAGCCCATGGAAGGGCTGGGGTTCGGATGGCTAGCTACAGCCTTAACTGCTGTACCCGCAGATGTACCCCATGGACAGTGGTCTGGGAATAGAGCCTCTTACATCACAGACAACAGCTTTTTCAATGTCACTCCTGGTTCTCATCCATTGGATGTGTTGTGCTGTCTGTGTCCATGCTGGATTTAAATGAAAGCTCTCACACCTGGAGACCAGCACCACAAGGCCTGTGCTCCCAAGTGCCGACTGGAAAGGAGCCTCGTTCTGGTTCTTGCCCATGATACTCTGTTATGACTACTGTAGCACACTCTTCTCTCAATTGGTTTCGCAACATCTGGAAGTTCTATATAGATGTGAATTTGATTCGGCTTTTCCAAGAAATTTAACTGAGAAACTCTAAAACAACTTAAAAATTACCAATGACTAGTTTTCTCAGATTTTTGGATACTTTCGGATTTTTTATATTTTTATCTATATAGTAGGGAAGCTTGGAGAAGAGACATAGACATGCATAGACATGAAAATCATCTGTGCTTCATGTCTGCCTTGCACACAGAGCCTTAATGTAACTCTACCCAGTGAATTTACATTTGGAGTTTCAATAAATTTCACTTCAAAGAACTTACAGTGCTAAGTTCTTAAATTTGGAACACTTACGTAAAACATGGCGCTCACACTTCTTTATGTTAAAATACATAGATGGCTGGAGAATGTGATCTCTGATACTGTAGTACTTGCCTTGTCCTCCTCTGCCCTCTGGGCTGTTGCTTGGACCTTCATGGTGTTTACAGTGGCAGGGTTGACATGACAGGCCTCGCCTTAATTTTTATTGTTAAACTCAAGCTCTTGTTGTAATACTGACCATATCTGTAGAACTTATCTTCTGTGGTTGATTTCACCCTATCAGATGTCCTGAGTATGTTGACGGTTGTCAAGCCACAATTAAGCAACTGTCTCAAAGTACTCATCAAGGCTGGGCATGCCGTATTCTTGTGCTGCCACCTGGCGGGAGTTAATGACATAGACGATTAAAACCCAAGGGCCCAGGGAAAATTTAGGAATGATTAAAATCCTCCTACATGGACTAGTCTACTAAAAATATTGTTTCAGTACATTAGTATGAGCCAAGAATATCTTAGCACAGCATGGACCTTCCTACTGCTAAAATTCTGTATTCATATGGAAATCTGGACTGGAGTTTATTTAAATAAGTTGAGTTTATTTAAGTAAAAGAAATGGGAAGGCTGTCAAGACATAACATCTTAACCGGGGAAGAAATATGAGCTGTGCTTACGATAGAGGCTGTAGGCTTATTGTTGATATTTCTTAAAAGTGACTACGTTATTTCTTTAAAATGAGACATTTTTTGTAAACTACCTCACAGACTTTAGACACTCCGACCTTACAAGGCCTCTCCTTTACTGCCAGACCTGGTGAACTGCTGGCTGTGGTTGGCCCTGTGGGAGCGGGCAAGGTAAGCTTCTTGGTTTGCTTTGTTTCCAAGTCGGCTCATTGGGAATTACTTATATGACCACTAGTTAGGATGGGGGTATTGTGAGACTTCCTCCTGCCACTGTTGGGCCCTGAATGTTCCAGGGGACTGCGAGGCTGTGCGGCTTCAAAACAGGTCTTAGGATTTACCCAAGCCATGTCAGTTCCTACTGAGCTTGAGTACAGCCATGGCTCGTGCTGGACCAAAAGATGCTCAGAGAAGCACAGGCCCAGGCAGCTGTGGGCCCAGGCGAGGCAGACAATCGCAAGCTCTCTGATCCCGGTAGGCCCACACACGTTAAACTGTAGAGGATTCCTCTGTCTCTGATGAAGGTTTGCCCCTCAGAACTGCTCCAGATGAGGAGGTTCCCAGTGCGTCCATGCATTGTTGGTGCGCGGCCTTTCTGGGACAAGCGCTTACATGGATGGACCCGCACTATCACGGTGCAGCAGAGTCACGCAGTCGGTGCTTGAGGCTCCTGCTGTGTTGGGCCTCTGTGTTTCTGCTACCGTCCTTTTCTGTTTATTGGCTGATGATGGGTCGAGGGAGACTGGGTCTCATAATGCCACAGTGGCCTCAGACTTGGTGTGTAGCTGAGGATGGCTTTGGTCCTCCTGCCTGTCTCCCTAGAGCTGAGGTTATGGGCACGCGCTGCACTGCCCAGCAAAGAGTGTCAGTTACGGTAGTGTTTCACACAGTGTTCTTATTGACATGCGGCTGACCATTCTATACAACATTGCACTTGGGGGATGCTCTTTCTGTTTCCTTTCATTCTGTTTCTAGCTGCAGCTTCTAGTGCTGTTTTAAATGAGAAGCTGGTGCTTGTCAGACTGCCAAGGCTGGGCAGTGCCTGGAGCTCGCATTCTGTGCTGACATTATACGTGTGCTGTAAACTCTCTTTCAGTCGTCACTGTTGAGCGCGGTGCTGGGCGAGCTGCCTCCTGCCAGTGGGCTGGTCAGCGTGCACGGGAAAATCGCCTACGTTTCGCAGCAGCCCTGGGTGTTCTCGGGAACTGTGAGGAGCAATATTTTATTTGGGAAGAAGTATGAGAAGGAACGGTATGAGAAAGTGATCAAGGCCTGCGCTTTGAAAAAGGTGATGACTTCTGGGTTTCCTGTGTTCTGTTTTCTAGTGATGAGATTGTTAGTTTAAACATCTGGCTTTGGGAAGTTTTTTAAAGTTATTATAATATGTAAGCTAAGCTTTTGGAAGCCTGTCTGTCCACACTCATCACTGTTTGGTTTGGTTGTATTAAGTTCTGTTCACTTTTAATCATTTTTGTGTCTTTATGTGCTGATCATCAGACCCATGGCCTTGCTCACACTAGGGGAATAATCCCCTTTCCCCAATATACACACAACTTGTATCTGTAATCCTTAACTGAAAAAAAAAAAAAAAAATATATATATATATATATATATATATATATATATATATATATATATATTAGATTTAATATTTTTATTGACTGGGGTATTTTTTTCTTCTATCATGTTTTCAATACCTGATGTTATTTCTTCCATCTCTTCTATTCTGTTGAAGCTTGTCTCTGAGGTTTCTGTTTGAGTCCCTCAAGTTTTGCATTTCTGCATGTTCCTTAGTTTGCATGCTCTCTCTTTTAAGTTAATTAATTAATTCACTTTGCATCCTAATTGTAGCCCCCCTTCTCCTCCCAGTCTCACCGGCTCCCTCTTCTCCCATCCCCCCTCCTTTGCCCCACTCCCCCAGCACATCAAGTCTCATCACGACTGAGCTCGTCTTCTTCCATGGTGGCCTGGCAAGGCAGCCCCACCAGAGGGAAGTGAGTGAAAAGCAGGCAACAGAGGCCTGCTTCCCTTTCTGGGGATCCACACGAAGCCTGAGCTGCTATATTTGTATAAGGAGCCTAGGTCCCGTCCATGCATGGCCCGTGGCTGGGGCTCTTGGGAGGATGTATTCATCTAATCTTGTGTGTATGGTGTTTTGCCTGCATATGTGCAGATGTACCACATGCACGCGTGGTGCTTGCAGAGGCCAGAAGAGGGTGTCAGATTCCTTTTAACTGAATTTACAGATGGTTGTGAGCCACTGTGTGGGCGCTGGGAACCGAACCTGAGTCATCTTTCCAGCAGCTGGTCCTTAACTTTTGTAAAACACAGAGCAGTTGCAAACATTTAACTGTGGGAGGTGAGCGTACTGAGCCTCATGTGCGCCCCACACAGTTCTGACTGAAGTCAGCTGGGCCTCGTCTTTACTCAGTTCCCTCTGAGCTCTGATGCCCCCCGCCAAACCACCTCATTTTAAGGGTGTCTGGGCCTTTTGTATTTCATCTTTAAAGTTTTTCATTATTTATTAAACATAATAATAAGAAGTCCCTTGGGGTCAGGGGACTGCCACAGTCCTATCCCTTTGTGGAAATGGCAAAATTGCTTGAGGAATCCACATCCTAGTCAGTCTGTCAGTGCTGAGTTCCAACTGAGAGTAAGCTGGGGAGAGAGTCTACAGCCCCGGCCCAACTTGTGCCTTCATTTTTTAAAGAAAAAAAGTTTCAGCAGCTTAACTCTGTGAGTCTTCACCAGGAGAAGGAAGGGTTTCAGAAATGACTGTGAGCTTCCCAGAAAAGAACAAGATGAAATATTTTATTACATGTGGCGATTTTAGTAAAATTGACCTTTGACAAAAACCTGAACATAGATGATAGGAGAACATAAGTTAGCCAGAAGACAAAATTCAAATGCCTGCAGACACTTTGGCTGTAAAAATTAGTCAGCAGTAGCTCGTGGTGGCTTGCCACAGACCCACTTACAGCGTTCTGGGCTCTCAGCTGTTCTTTTGCAGTGGGTGGAAAAGGCCAGACAGGCCTCTCGGGAGGTATGCTATGGAAGGCTTTATTCTGAGGGATGTGTAATTTCACTTGAGCAGTAGCTGGGATGTCGTAGGTTGTATTGGTCAGTGGCTTTTTATGAAGACATAGAAAATAATGAGAGATTACATGTCTTTATAATGACATTAAGTCATTTATAATATAATACAAATTAGATTTGAATTAAGTTAGTGAATATGCATACTGATGAGGACTAATTATAGAATAAGAGATCTCCTGCATTCAAAGTCTCTAAAGTCCATCATTGATTCTACATACCTGTCTCTGTCTTTTCAGGTTCTCTCACTCACTCTTGCTCGCTCTCTCTCAAGCGCACACACACACACACACACACACACACACACACGGGTACATGACTCTGGAATCTCTCACCATTAATTCCCTAGTGTATCCAATGTCAGTGTTCCCTCTTAGCCAGCTGAACACACCTTGATCAAAGTGAGCCCTATTGGTGACTCCTGACCTTCTCCCCGTGTCCAGCTACTTTCTGGTCGAGGCTGACTTGCTTTGGGTGATAGATGGAGGTGAATGTGGGAGACCGGGCTATAAACATCCCCCCCCACCCCAGCCTTTGTGTTCCCAGGCAGCCCAGCCCTGCCTTTTCCCTTCCCTGTGTTTGGACATCTGTGCAGGAAAGCAGGCCTGAGGACAAGAACTGCTTGTCCCAAAGCCACCAAGATCATGGGCAGGAACCTGGGCTTCAGCCTCTTTGGTGCTTTTGCATGTCAACAACACGAATGAGCTTCCCCTCAGGACTGGGCTGTCTGGTGGCTTTGAGGGTGGCTTTGCTGCTGTGTGTCTGTATGGACTGCTGTGCTGTTTTCATTCCTACCCTTGGCATGAGGGTGGCTCAGCCTGAGTGCCAGCCTGGCTATGTCACTTGGTCGATATTTGGGATGTGGCCTCATATTATTGATGTCTGCTGCAGTAGGAAAACACAAGCTTACAGACTTCCAGGAGGCTTTGCTGTGGTTCTGAAATGCTGTTTATGAAGCTGCCAAACAGCAAGCACATCAAGACCTTGAGCATCCCACTGAACTCAGTGTGGGATGTATGGGGTCCTTGGATCCTTTGGGGTTGTGGCAGTGAGTAGACATGTGAGGCAGAGGACTTCCCCGCTGGGGCAACAGCACTCTGGGCGGCTCCAGGTGTCTGCCTCTGCTTCCCTTAGTATTAAATAGGGTGGTTAGATTGACTGGGAAGACAGTGGTTAATCCATGTAAAATATAGACATGGGACTTTGATAAATGGTAGATTTATCGCTATTACAATGCTTTTTTCTAAATCAGTGAATACATCTGCAGATAGGACAGGTAAAGGCTTTTATTTATAGACTTCTACCACACATACCCCTAAAAGCACTAATGAAAATCAGGAAAGACAGATTTCTGTGATCAGATGCCTAACTAGATTTACTACATTAGAAGTAATTGAAATAAATTTATAATTTAAAGTCATGTCTGAGATGAAATGCTGAGACGTTAAATAATAGCGTACATTTAACAATGTCCCTCCAGTGTGGTTATGTGACCATGGTGATGTCAGTGAGCTACAGTCTCAGCAGACATCCCAGGATGCAGGATGTTAGGGGCAGTTAGTAAAATCGAGGCCTGAGGACATGCGGCTCTGACTTTGTCCTCTTTATCGGGCTAGGTGTTAGCCGGCTTGGCCTTAAAATGGCTCAGTAGCTCTTCATTAAATCAGGGCTCTTGTCATAAAGCATTATGTGAGCAACAGCTCTCCACAGCTGGGCCTGTGTATGCCAGATCTTGCCGGTGATGATTACCAGCAAGACATGAGAAATCTTTCCCATAGGGGTGTTCTAGACCTGACTGTTACCCTGTTTTGGGGGGATATGTTTTGTCATTTCCCTCCAAGATTCTGTTCTTTGTCAGTTTAGTTTTTTGATATAAAAAAAGTCTTTGGATACTGTTGTAGGAAGTTAATAATATTTACTATTGGTTTATCTTCTAGTAAAGCAGCTGTATAACCAAATCACCACACAGAGACTGGATTTTTAGTTAACCTAGAACCCAATGCTGGGCAATATTTACTCCCTCCTAAACCTCCAAGCCCTCAGTTTCCTAACATTTAGATTTCCCACATTATACTTGCTTTTTGTGAAATCTTAGGTCTGGTTCATCCTCCACATCCTCCAGGATCTCTCCTCCAGCTCTGCTCTCCTAGCTGTCTCTCGCCCCTTCCCTCCTCTCCTCCCACTCTGCTCCCGCCTTCAGGCTCCTCCCCTCTTTCCTGTCCTCTGGCTCCTCCCTGCTCAACATTGTGTCTAGTTGCTTTATTTTGTTCCTATTTACACAAGAGTTGAGACAGGATGCTTAGAATGAGTATCACAATGCAATATCCGGATTGAAACCAGAGAGTTGGGGGTGGGGTGGGGGAGAAATCAGTATTTGCATGAACAAGGGTAAGGTGTATACATTAAGAAAAACATTATACCAACAGGATACCTTCCTGGATTCCCAAATGAAAGTTCAGCTTTCTTTTCTTGGCTTGCATGTCACAAAAATTCACCCATACCACCTGCTCTGCAACTCATAGATTCTGTCTACCACTCTGCTGGGCTTGTGAGGGCGTGGCTCACGTGGAAAGCTGAGTCACAGATAGGTGAAACAGTTGTGAAGGCACGTGTATTCTCTGATGAAGTAAATCTGTGGCTTTGGAAGCTACGTCATGTTTCCGTAGCTTGGAAACATGACGTATCTGCTCTTTAGTGAAGGCGTCCAAATGCCCCGAAGCATCATGGTCCTCCGTGAGCAAGTTTTAAAAGGGGTACTTAGGATTCTGTGTCGTGTGTGCTCACTTCTGCCCATGTTCCCTGGGCCACGGCCCCGACCACTCATGTTTCGCAGATTGCTGGTACAGACCTGCTTGCTGCTGTGAGCGATTCCTTCCAGGTGGTGTCATGAGGCAGATGGTGTCACCCTTGAATCTCGTGGGACTCTGGGTGCATCCTCCTCATCGGCCTCATGTGTTAACACTGCTCCAGCATTGTGGCCTCGAGGTTGCCATCCAAGAATGCGGCAGTTAGACATTTGCTGCCAAGACTTACCATTATTTCTGCCTGTATATGATGCAATCTTTTTGCTCAGGTTTTGCTGGCCCACCCCACTGTACACTTGTTGATCTGAGCCCTGGTTAACCATCCAATGGGCTATGACTCCCCCCCTCCCATACACAGCAAGTTTCCTTTACTTTTGGCACTTGCTGTCTAGTTTACTCTTTGCACTGTCAGTATCCATTCTGACTGCTTCTGGGACCTTGTTCCCTTTACTGCTAAAGTTTTTGTGCCCAAAACAGTGCCGGATCTCTGGTCATTGCTTGGCACATATCTTTTAAAATGGTTAAGTGCCTAAATCCTCAGAAAAAAAGTCTAACATGGAAATACCCTGAGTGCTTTGTTGTTGAGTGAATGCGTTTGCCCCACCCCCTCTGAAAAGCTGCTGCTAGGTGTAAGGTGTCTGTGGAAGGCAACTGTGAGGCTTCTCTCTTCTGTCACCGTGCAGGACCTACAGCTTCTGGAGGACGGAGATCTGACTGTGATCGGAGACCGGGGAGCCACGCTGAGCGGAGGGCAGAAAGCACGGGTCAACCTGGCGCGGTAAGTTGCCCTTCCATCCACAGCCATTCTGCACGTGCCTTGGTGGAGCTTCAGGGGGGAGGGGCGTGGTGCGCATGCGCACACGAGAAGTGTGTGTTCTGAGTAAGTTTCTAGGTGAACATCCAGCTGGCGGGTGGCACAGTCCTCGTGGCAGAGGCCAGCGAGGTACTCCTCAGCCTGATTGCTCTCTCGGCTTTTCAGGGCAGTGTACCAGGACGCCGACATCTACCTCCTTGATGATCCGCTCAGCGCTGTTGACGCGGAAGTGGGCAAGCACCTGTTCCAAATGTGAGTTTGTTCTATCTTCCATCAGCTCTGTATTCAGGAGCCCTTCCAAGCGGGCCCCACGAAGGATTTGACTACTACTTCACCCAGGCTCACTCTTACGTCCCTCTTCCCCTTCGTTCCCCTCCAGATGACCCATTTTGTAAACACAAGGTCGGGGTAGAAAGTTAGGGAAGGCGCCTTTGGTACGGCCCAGTGTGTGGAGCCTGTGTGTTAAAGTCAAAGACAGAAGGTGCTCTGCAAGTCCTTCCTTTGGCTCCCTGAAGTCCTCAGCGAAGGGACTGAAAGGCCTGCCCCTAGCAGGAAGAAAGATGTGCAGGTTTACCTTGAAGGAAGGGGCGTGGAGGCTTGGGAGTCAGCTCATTTTCTCCACCATTTAAAAATAAGATTTGTTTTATTTCAGTGTGTGTGTATATGTGTGTCTGGTGTGTGAATGCCACGTGTGTGCAGGTACCAGCGGAGGCCGGAGAGGAGCTGGAGTTAGAGGTAGTTGTGAGCCACCTGACATGGGTTCTGGGAATGGCAAGTGCTCCAGACTGACCATCTCTCTGACCCCTCCCACGGGAATGCTTTACTTTGTGTGAGAATAAGGTTTCAGTGGCAGCATAGCATAGGGCCTCCATGGAAAGGCCTCATGGGTTTGTGTTAATATGTGGGCTGGGTGATTTGGGGACACTGTGAATGGGATTTCGTCCCTCTAGTAAAAGGAGCAGGAGACACAGAGCCATAAAGGTGTGCACAAGTGGGCACTAGAAAAGAGCAGCAGGCTCACAGCTCCCTCGGGGTGAGGTACACGTCATACAGTGACTGAGAGCCCCCGAAACACCCACACGGAGGTCCTGGGCTCGTTCGCTCTGGGTGCCAGAATAAAATGCATCAGTGTGTGTGACTTCCATCTTTCTGAGCTGTGGTGCACACTGGCTCAGCGGCCACCTTCTCACCTTTTCCTTCTTGTGTGTCTTTCCCCAGATTCCCTCTTCAGAGGACAGCACTCAGGTAGACTGAGGATCCAGCCTCATAGCTGCTCTCTCTCTAAAGGCTCTGTGTCTAAACTGTTAGGTGATGAGCTTTAAAACATCGATTCAGGGCACGTGGCTGAGTTTGTAACAGGATTTCAAGCAGGGTGAAAATCTCATGTGCCCAGGCGCTGGGTTCCAGGGCGGGAGCACAAGGTTGTCGACTGAGCAAGCCCTTCTGGGACATGGTGGACAAAGGGGAGTGATCGCTTCCGTACCCGTGCAGGGTGCAGATGCACCTGGGGTTGTGGTGATGAGCGTCCGGAAGCAGATGTAGTGGTGCCTAGACAGCAGTGCGGCTGCGCTTCACACTGATCGACGCTCGAGATGGTTAAATAGTGACCTTTACGGCAGGTGCATTCTGCCGCAATGAAAATAAAACCGTGTGAATAGCAGTGCTGGGTCTTTCAGGATGCAGAAAGCGAGAGCAGCCGGCGCTTGGCCCTGACCCAGCTCTCTCATCTGACCCTCCTTTCCTGCCTGCTCTTGATTGCGACTTGATGGATTTTGCTCTGGGCAGAATCAGCCTTTTGTCACTTGAGTGATTCTCGAGTGGCTCCACGCAAGTTCCCATCACTCGGAGAGGAGTCTGGGGCGGGCTGCTGTAGGAGAGCCTCTTGGGAGGAGAGAGGAAGGAGTTCTGACTGCTGTTACCAGTGTGCATGCCAGAAGGGCACCCCAGGTTCCCCTTTGAACACAAACAGGGGGTTTATGAGGTCTTCTCGAACCTTTAATGTCTAATGGCTTTGGATAGACACTCGATAGAAGCAAGCTTGTTAAAATTGCTGCTTGCTAATCAGAACCACATTCTTTGGGGGGAACTTGGAGCAGGGAGCCCGAATGCAATTTAGGAAATCACTCAGCAGCAGCTGGAGAATGTTCTCAACGAGTTAGAAAATTGGATTGAACAATATGCTATGAAAGATGGCGGTCGTGTTGAAGCTTAGAAATGTGAAGTGTTTTGTATTAAACAGGAATGAGCTGCTCTTCTGTTTGCCATTAACAGTTTTACTGCGATCACAAAATATGCATCCAGGGTTATTAAGGTTTGTGAGTTTTACAACTGTATGTTGCAAGCGTTGGAAGTGAAAGGCTAGGGACTCTGGACTGATGCCAATCTGATCTAGCTGTGGATTCTTGTGCATTTCAGAAAGTCTCAGAATTAGAGATGGCTGCCTCTCCTGATCTCTTGAGGCCTATCCTAACTAGATCTCCCTCACTGCTGCCTCTTGTCTTAGCTCCTGGATGTCTTAGTTTGTATGGGCCACCATGACAAAAGACCACAACTGGGTGGCTTACAAACAGCAGAGATGTATTCTCACAGCCCGAGGTGAAGTGCTAGCAGGTTTAATGTCTCGTGAGGACGTGTTGATGTGTAGATAGATTCTTCTTGCTTTGCCCTAATGGCAGAAGCGGTTCATCCATCGGTTCTCTTTTATAAGGACCAACAGCAAGCCTGCCCATGACGACAGGTTGCCATGGAAAAGCCCTGCCTCTTCATATGTCAACTGGCGATTACGTTTCAGTATATGAGCACATGGGTGGACAGAAGCCTTCAGTATCCAGCGCTGCCTCAGCTTTCCTGCTTTAGTCTTTTACACACTCTCCCCATCAGGATGCAGTTCCAGGTTCTAGAATGGGAGTCCTTGTTCTTTGCAGCCTGCTGCACTGCCGTCCTCCACATAAATCAGCATTCCAGAACTCCACCATGCCAGCAGAGTCCACATTTGTTGGCATGTTGGAGACATACGCCCTCTCTACCCCTGCTTATTTTAGTGTTGCTCCTTCTCAGCCTGATGACCGTGCATCAGGAGGAAGGAAGAAGACCTGTCTGCATGCCTGCCTTTTTCTCCTGCACTTACAAGAAGCATGATGGTTTTCTGTAATTGTGTCCTGTAGATGTACATAGCCCATTGCCCAATGCCCATAGCACTCAGTGTGTGTTTCTGTATCACCTTGCTCCCTATGCCCACACTGTACTGAGTACATGGAAGCATCCCAGAGCCATGGCACCCAGCTGGAGCCATGGCACCCTATCAGAGCCAAGCACACGTCAGAGCTACAACTCTCACTGTGTCACTGTATTGCTTCCTTGCAGAGATGCCCTTTCCTCCCACACTTCCTAAAAAGCAATTCCCACTTTGCTTTTTCTTCTAGCTCCCATCATGACGCCACAGTGCCTTTTCTCTATTTCCTTTAGGCAAGCCGCGGTGTTGTTGTTTTTCTTGGCCGGTGGGTAGCACCTTTCACCGTGCATATCAAGTAAACGAATCCAGGAACTTATTGCTCTGTCTGTCTTACTTCTGTCCCTGCCAGCCCCACTGTGGAATTGTGGGGTTGCAGTGGTTTGGGCTCTTCGTGGTTCTTAGTTAGGACCAGAATTAAATGCTGAATTGGTCAATGCTGGCATGACATGGGAAGGTATGGCGGCGTGCATCTACATAGTTTCGTAACACAGAGGTGGAGGCAGGAGGCCTCCTCTGCTGGCTACATTTCACTGTTAGAGCAAGGCTCAGGCGCTGCTAGAGGAGTTAAGTACATAGTCTCCAGATTAGTAATTTACTTCTGTCTTTAATTATTAAGGTTCATTTTCACTGCTTTTCCGTTAAGCCTGTGTCTCTGTGTGTGGGTCTGCGCACCTAAGGGTGGGTGCCCTTGGAGGCCAGAAGAGGGCCTTGCATCCCTGCAGTTGAGGTCACAGGCTGTTGAGAACTACCCAGTGGTTGTGTGGAGAAATGAACTTGGTTCCTCTAAGGACAGTGTGTACTGTTAACTGCTGAGCCTCCTCTCCAGGTAGCATTAATTTGCATTTAAGCCTCTTTTAAAGCAGACGTTGCTGTGTTCTCTCACTGTGGCCTGAACTCTTGCTTTGCAGTCCCCTGCTAATGTGTTTCATCCTCTGGTGGCTTCTGCGTTTGTAGGTGTATCTGTCAGGCCTTGCACGAGAAGATCACCATCTTAGTGACCCACCAGCTGCAGTACCTGAAAGCTGCGAGCCACATCCTGATATTGAAAGATGTAAGTAACTTCTCTCTTTAAAAAAGCGGAGTTTGGAGTTGGTTAGGAGATTCTAATGCAGATTTTAAGCAGTGGCATGCAGGAAAGAAAAGTACCTGTGAAGAAAGTAAAACAGGCCCAAGAGCAAGGTTCCAGGTTTCCCGAATGCACGTTGTGGTTGTAAGTTAGATGTCCACCGGACCACCTAGGGCCTCAGATGTGTTCAGTGTGGAGTTCCCATCAAGTGTGCTTCATGGGAAGCTCCTTGCCCTCCCTCTGATTTACATCCATTTCCTAGAGATGAGATTCATGTCCTGGGGGATACCCAGAGGACTTTTGGAAGTATCACTATGAGGTGATGCGGCCCCATCTGTAGAGTGTGTGCCTGGCATGCGCAAAGGCCTGGCCTCCATCCTTAGCATCCACAGACGGATGTTGCACACCTGTAGGGCCAGCGGCATCAGAGGCTCAAGGTTTTCTCACTTGGAGAGTTCAAGGTCATATTGGGACACATGAAGTCTCATCTGCCAAAGCAAACAAGCAAATAATAACAGTGGAAGCCCCAACAGAAAGCAGAACTTTCTGTTGAGAAAGGGCTTACATTCTAATCCCTGCTCCTTGTACAGAATACAAAATTGCCCTCTCAAATTTACAAGCTGCCCCAGTGAAATTAAAGATGATAAAGATGCTGCTTTCTAAGAGATTTTTTTTCAGACCTAAGGTACGGTAGATAATTTGGAAATTGTAGACCCTAAGACACCTCCCATCTCCTCTTGATTGTCTTCTCCAACCTGCCTGAAGAGTATCTTTCATTAAGAAAAGCAGTGGATGTGTGAGCAGGCTGTGCTCAGAGCTGCCTGGCCACTGTGACCACGCGCTGGTGCTCCTGCATAGGTGCACAGCCGCAAGCCGGGTGATCCCTTGCCATTCAGTGTAGGGCCTCCACTCTACTCAGAGTAGACGCGACAGTGCTCGTGAGACAGTGGCAGGAAAATGTTGGTCATGCTTTTACCTGGAGGGAGGCCATCTGGGGCAGGTGCTAGAGAAAGAAATCACCCGCCATGTTTTGAGGAACAGCACGCAGTCTGCGTGTTTGTGCTGAGGGAGGTGGGTCTGGAGGGAGGTGGGGTCAGAGCACAGGACGTTGGCCTTGGTCCCTGTTGTTTTATCCATCGCAGAGAGGGAATGTGGTCTCAGCTGTGGTACCCACCTCTCCTCCCAGACACCAGGATTCTCTGGGGCTATAAGACACAATTAGAAGTCTGTCTTGTAGATCAGAAGGAAGAAGGATGTACTCAGGTCAGCAAGTCATTGTCCCAAGGTTGCTAGAGCAGAGCACTGGCACCAGTATCTGAATAGCTACAAAGCTGCTGTCTCGCTGGGCCACCCGCTGCTCTGTTAGGCCCTGGCGCCATCTCTGAAATCTCTGGAGAATCCCCTTTCTTGCTTCTTCTGCCCTCTGGTCTTCTCATGGAATCCCTTGGCCTTCTGTGGTCAGCTGTTGGAGGATTCCAGATTCTGTCTGCCATTATAGGCACGGCCTGTGTTTGTCTTGACTTCTTATTACTCCCCATCCAGTGTGACCTCACTTTAACTTGAGTGTGTCTTCAAAGGTCCTGTTTCTCAATAAAGTCACATTCCTTAGTACCAAGATTCAGGACTGCAGTGAGGGGCAGGGCCACCATTTAACCCCTGACAAACCACCCACCTTATTGAGATCAAAATTAGCAAGAAATTTTCAGAGTTCCTGGTGACTTGCTGAGTGGCCTCCTTGGCATGTTCGTTTCGGTCCTCTGTGCTTATCTTTTGCCCTGGGAGTGGGCGAGTGTCAGATTCTTCTTCATCACGGGCAGGAAACAGCCCCCTCAGCATGTTCACATGCTGATTATTTCCTTCCACTTCATTCAGCATTGAGTTAACCACGAAGGTAATGGTGATTCTAACAGCACATGACAAAATAAAATATGAGATAAAACAAAATAACAACAAACCATATCACATCAAACCAGCAGAAGGAAAAGAGACCCCAGAGCAGGCACAAGAATCAGAGACCACTCATACACACACTCAGGAGTCACATAAGAACAATAAACTGGAAGCTGTGATATACATGATAAGACCTAGAGCAGACCCACCTAGGTCCTGTGCTTGCTGCTTCAGTCTCTGTGAGCTCATGAGCTTAGCTGGGTCAGAGAGCCCTGTTCTCCTGTGTCCTCCATCCCTGCTGGCTCTCACACTCTTCTGCCTCTGCTTCTGTATTCCCTGAGGCCCGAGGAAGAGATTTGATGGAGAACACAGGTCACTTTATGAGGAGAAAAGGTCAAGAATGCAGCGCCTGGGTAGCTTCCCATCTGAAATGCCCTTCCAGGGGCAGCTGTGGAAGAAGGGCACAAGGAAGAGCTCACACTGAGAAGAAACACAACACCAGAGAGATGAGGCCCCACAGTCCTCTCTGGATTTAGGGCTTCCTACCAGGTTCCAGAACCTCCCAGCAGAGTCACCTCAGCACCAAGCCTTTCCTCACACAGCGAGGAACACAAATAACTAAGCTATATCTAAGCCATAGGATCCTTCTGTAATCTCTTGGCCAAAGATGGGAATGGCAATCGAATATTAGCCAGAATTTCACAATATTTGTGTGCAGCTATCCTCAGAGAGATAGATAACACGTCATTCTGGCTGTGTAATGATAGTAGGGTGCCTGCAAAAGTCCATTTGTGCTTCCTTGATACTTATTGTCACCATCAAAGAGAGGTGAGGGAGCTGTCAGTCAAAGTTCCATCGAATAAATTCTCACCCCAAAGAAGATTATAAGAGGCAGGATGACTACCCCCTTAACAACAACTTAGTACGCCAGCCGTTTCCCTTCCCCGGGGAAGAGGAGCTCAGATTCCTCAAGCTGGAAAACAATTAATTTCATGGGCAGAGAGCTGAATATTCCGCCTGCAGACTCAGTAGGTATAGAGTAGTTTTGTCACCTGTCTGCACATGGCGGCTGCCTTTGAAATCCTGCCTCCTGCATATTGGGAGTTTTATTTTTAGTGCTTGACAATTTATTCCCCCACTCGCAGGGACTGGGAGGAGCCTTTCTTGGTGGTATGGCCCCCGTCTAACAGCAGAGAGGATGGCCGCCCCATCTCTCTGGTTTTTACAGCTTGTGTTCTCAGGAAATGTCCTGTCTAACGAGGAGCAGTTCCCTCGTGTGTTTTACTGATCCTGAGATGAAGGGCATAATTGCATTTAACAAGTGTGCCAACTGAGTCTTATCTTCTGACTGCAACAGGACACAGCGCATCGGGAATAACTTTCTAATTCTTCAGTCATCAGATTATTAAAAGCCTAAAGGCACTAGGATTTTCCTCAGTGGACCACCTTGATTGGGGTGGGATGGGGAAGGACAGGGGAGTAGGTGGTACTTGGAGCAGCTGATTTGTCTAACGTGCCCTAGCCTCACTTCAGAGCTACTCCGCTTCCATTCAGTTCCCCAGGGTTTTCCCCAGTATTCGTTTGTGACTTTAGATAAATCATTTGTGTCTCTCTTCATGGGGTAAAACATTGTTTAGATATTTGTGCATTATTTCCTATAACTTTGGTCAGGAAGAAACCACCTATTAGGTAGATTCTGATCATGTGGAATGGTGAGTCTTCAGTGAGGATCTTAAATTTGGGGCAGATTTTAGTCTAAGACCATGAAGTTCGTGCATGTCTTGCCTCAGAGGAGCAGGTGGCCAGTTAAGGCTGGGTAAGGTCGTGCTGTGAAGACAGAGATGCGCACAACACTTCCCTGATCCTGTGGATTCTTCTGCCGTCTACACTTCCTGCTTCCTTTAATGTCCATGGTATTTGTGTTGTAAGGCACAGTGACACATTATTTTGGTGAGCACCTAGAAGTTGGCAGAGAGCAGGATTCTCATTCAGGTGGAAAGTTGAGTTATTGCATCCTTGTCAGCCAGGATTCCAGACCCAAGAGCAATCATAACTCAAGGCCAGTTGACTGAGGCCAGTTGAGAGGTGTTACCAAGTAGACATGTCTGCCTCTGAAATTCCTTTTGTTCTAGGGTGAAATGGTACAGAAGGGGACTTACACCGAGTTCCTGAAATCTGGTGTAGATTTTGGTTCCCTTTTGAAGAAGGAGAATGAGGAGGCAGAGCATTCCCCAGGCCCAGGAACCCCGACTCTCAGGAACCGAACCTTCTCTGAAGCCTCGATTTGGTCTCAACAGTCGTCCAGACCCTCTTTGAAAGACGGAGCTACTGAGGGCCAAGATGTGAGTTCATCCTGTTACGTGGCTCCTTTTGCTCTCACAGATCTCGTAGCTCTCTGAGCCACTCTGTTGGTGGCAGTGTCTTTGTCCTAAAGCTGAGCTTGAGCTTCTAAGGTGTTACACAGTGTCATTGACAGGACTGAAATAGGGTCAAGGGAACAGCCCTGGCTGTGGGCAGGAGAACCTCACAGACACCCATCCTGGCTGTGCTGCCAGAAGTTCCAAAGGTCCATGTAACTTGTGGATGTCTGAAGTCTAGAATTTACATAGACAGATCTTAGCTTTTACATCCAGAGGCTGAACGTGAAGAACACCTTAGTAGTGCTTCTCAACCTTCCTGATGCTGGAACCCTATAATACAGTTCCTCATGTTGTGGTGACGCCCAACCATAATATTCGTTTCATTGCTATTTCATAACCATAACTTTGCTACTGCTATGAACCATCATGTAACTATCTGTATGTTCTGATGGTCCTAGGTGACCCTAACTCGGTCATGCCCCACAGGGTGAGAACTACTGCATTAGACTCTTCTATGTTCACATAATTTTTGTTATTTGTTGGACCTTCACACAGTAGGCAGCTGACTTGCCCTTTTTTTTGATGTGTTTTGTTAGGCAAGAAGGATGCAGCTCTGGTAACCTTAGCACATGACAGATAGAGTTAGTTCCTCCCTTTCTTCATTATTCTAGGCCGAAGGCCACATCTCACTCATCACTGAGTGCCCAGTAGTCAGCACAGGTCCAAGCGTATCTTCAGCTCATGTGAATCTGTGCCACACTGAAAGCCTTTCAAGCAAGTACACACTCCTTTAAAAAGAGAGTCATCCTGGCCAGCCAGAGGTGGTGCACACCTTTAATCCCAGCACTCAAGAGGTAGAAGCAGGCAGATCGCTGAGTTCCAGGCAAGCCTGGTCTATAGAGGACAGCCAAGGCTACACAGGGAAAACCAATCTCAGTGAGGGAAGAAGGAAGGGAGGAAGGGAGGAAGGAAGGAAGGAAAGATGTCATTCCTTGGTATTGGCATGGCGTGAGTTTGGACCCCCAGGGATACCAGGGTCCTAGGGAGTTCAAGTTGCGTATGCAAAAGTGGTGAATGTGCAAATAGCCTCTGTACTTCTGTATATTTTAAGACTTCTCTAGATTTCTTACAATACACAATAAATGCTATATGGACGCGTGATACATGGTATCAAAGGAGAGTGTCTGTGAATGTTCAGTACAGATGATGACTTTCCCCTGAGTGTTTTCAGTTGGTGAGTGTGGAACGCCAACATGATAGGTCTGACTATACAGACAGCTGTCTTCACTATCCAAACCCGCATTCTCCGAGTCTGGGAGCCTGGATCTCTCTGATGGAGGTAGATATGTTTCCTCTTCCCTTGTACAGGTTTTAACACAGTTGCAGCATTTGGCTGCCGTTTGAGCCATTTGCTTATTCTTTCTTATTTAGTGCTGCAGTGGAATTCAGAGCCTTGCTTGTGCTAAGCCTGCACCCCACCTCGGACCTGCGTGTTTCCTGAGTGCTGTGTCAGTAGTCACCTTCTGGAGAGTTTCTGTGTCACGGTTAGGCTTACTCCTCCCTTTCCCTCCACAGACAGAGCACACACAGGCCATGCAGCCAGAGGAGAGCCGTTCGGAAGGGAAGGTGGGCTTCAAGGCCTACAAGAACTACTTTGCGGCTGGTGCATCCTGGTTTTTCGTCGTTTTCCTTATTCTTCTGAACATGGCAGCTCAGGTACAAAATGACGTCTGTGCCCGCAGTGTGATATTTACACATGTACATTTACGTATGATTGAGGAATTGTGCCGTTCACTCAGGATTTGCACTGCGGGGTGATTTGCACAGTGTGAGTGATGCTAACTGGAGTTGAAAATTGCATAGAATTAAAAAAGTTGGGTTACCTTGTCAGATGTTAACTGGGCGGCTTGTCTGGGAAATTGGGCCTGGCACACACCTGAGCGTGCTAGGACAGTCCGCCGCTCTGGAAGCTTCCGCTGTATTCCAAGTCTTAGAAATGTTGAGTTTCAAGTTTGGAAGTCATGCCAACTCGGTGTTTCACTTCCCCCTGCAGGTTTTCTTTGTTCTTCAGGACTGGTGGCTTTCTTACTGGTGAGTTGTTCCATAGGTTTTAGGGAGAGGAGAGCTTGTTGGGCCTCTAGCCTAACGTTAGTCACTGATGAGAAAAAGTGATGTCTTGTGCATGCCGTGTGACCTCCAGCACGCTTTACCCACATCTGGTCCTCAGCTGCATGTCGGAAACTGAACGTCACGATTCAGATTTTAAAGGGTGGAAGCGCACAGGATTGTGCGAGCTGAGAATTGGTGTCTAACACATTTCTCCCAAACTGGGGCTCCTTTTGTTTGGTATTTACCTATATCTGTATCTTAATTTTTTTTCTCCTATGTTCCTTCCAAAATAGGGCGAACAAGCAAGGTGCACTGAATAACACCAACAGTGTGAATGGGAGTGAAACTGAGACCCTGGATCTTAACTGGTACTTGGGAATCTATGCAGGTAGAGTTTAGTCCTTTGCTCTATTATATGAGGGCCCGAGGTGGTTACAATGAGCCTGCCCAAGTAACCAGAGCTCCCAGGAGTAATTCAGTAACATCTTAGCAGATTAGGAGGCTGAGTCGAATTTACTCTGTGAATTAATTAGAATAATTATTTTTTTTTAAAAAAAAATCTACCGGAAGAAAGAGGGTGAATGAAGACTCTTAATTTGCTCTGTACTGGATTTTGAAAGTTAAACTAGGATTGAGCGTTCAGAAAGCCAGCCACTGGAAATATGAGGCTATTGTCTATTCTAATAGGTTGCTTTAGCTAAATCTTCTATCATTATGTGGATGGGCAGGGGGATTAGAGACGGATCCCCACCCTGTGGTTTGGATTGTTCCAACTTTGTCTGAATAAGCCCAGGCCTTTATTGAAGTTGGATGGAATCCCCTGGCAGCAAGCCCCCCTCCCCCCACCCCCAAATAAAAGCATTATCCCCTCACAGGTATGCAAAGCTCCCCGCAGCACACTGCTCATCTGGGGCTTCGCTAATTACTGAAGAGGGACGTTGAGCAGGGAGAAACCCAGTGTGCAGGAATTAGGACTCCTTCTTTCCTACCTCGATCAACAATGTTATCACACCTCTAACTGTGTGATTAATTTAACATTTGGTTTGCCAGACTAATATTAACACCACGCTCTGTTTTCACAAGAGTGCCTGGAATATGTTTAGAGAGTCACATACTTTTAAAAAGAAAATCCTGGTCTCAGAGTTCAAGTGTTCCCACAGGAAGCACTTATTCAAGCTGTCCTTGGGATAGAATGGATTATTTCCGTTAGAACCCACTCACCGATGTTTGGTACTTATTTTCTTGATCTCAGGCTAAGAAACCTAAATCACTTGAGTGGGTACCATTCCAGCTGGTGTACTGTGCAGGACCTTAAGAAATAGGTCCATTGTCTATTCGGGTAGGATGGGAGGCTAGGGGAAATGCCTGTGTATGGAGTTTTAGAACGCAAGCTGCTTTCTGAGGCCACGCTCTGTGGTTAGGAGGCATCAAGGTACCATACTACTGCTTCCCGTTCTGTGACTGAAAGTGGATGATGCCGGGAAAGCAGAGGTTAGGGATGTAGCCCAAGGCTAGAATGCTTGCCTCCTGTGCATAAAGATGTTGTTTCTCCAAGCAATATACAGCACACTGCTCAACACACACACACACACACACACACACACACACACACACACACACACAC